TTGTCATTTACAATGCTTACCTTCTAAAACCAACAAAAAATACAATTAAACCAATCGGATATCTGATCTGTAGATAGAACAATAAGTCATTTAAAACTTCCAGTTACCTATCAAATCTAGCAGTCTTGTCCATGGGAAAAAATCAGCCTTATGTTGAGTTCTATATTAGACCTAAAGTATATAGAAATCAGTGTATCTTTAGCAGCAGGGTATGGAATTATTTATTTCCCATTTCAGGCTACTGAGTGATGGAAGCAAGGAGTTTCATGGTCTGTGAATGTTTTAGAGGCCCTGACTTTGGGGTTAGCCTGGACACAGAAGTACAGGTGGTAGGGGATGGGCAAGGGTTCATTGTGAGCTTGTCTTCTCAGGTGGTACAACAGTCTACATCTACAAGTAGCAAACACAGTGAAACCTTCGATAGTAGGAAAGGAGATGAAGGAAAGCTGGAGCTGTTTTTATACACTGTTATGCTACTTAGAATTCAAGGGTTACTTGTATTAGTAAAGGTGAAAGAATTAGGTTAATTGAGTCTTCAGCTGAAATGTCTTATTTCAAATAAAACTCAGTTTATAGCTTATGATTTTTTTTGATGCTTGTAGAAGCTTAAATCCAAATATTAAATCTTACCAAGAACATATTCTTCACATTGACTGACCCACAGGATACCTGATATTTTCACAGTTAAATAAGATTTTAAATATCTATGGAAATTAAGAGTGAGTGTGTCATCCTTAATTACAACAAATACTGCTTACAAATTAAAAATACATAGAGGAAAATATGAAAGTATTATTTTATGGCTTGTAACTGTCTCTCTTCCTGTACCATTAATTCAATCCATCCATTCAATCCATTTTACACTACTCTCAGATTAATCTCTCAAATGGGTTCCTACTATATGCTTATTGCTACCTATTCAAGGTACTCTGTAATTTAGTCCCATCTTAACTACCAAACCTTATCTCCCACTATGGTTGGACAAGATTCTGTGCTTCCTTTTAGTGGATTCCTCACTGTTTCATGAATAGTACATACTGCTCCAATTTTTTTCTTTTTTTTTGATAAGGATGTATTTATTTTAAACCATTGCATAAGATTCAGCTTAAGAATCATAAGTGCCCCTTGCATTGTACATGATTGTTTTTGAATTTTTGAATTTTATTTATTTTTTTATACAGCAGGTTCTTATTAGTTATACATTTTATACATATTAGTGTACATATGTCAATCCACTACAATTTCTTACTCTGGCTTAGCAGGTGCTGATCTCTTATCTTCACCCACACCCAGTCCTACTTGTTCTTTAGTGCTCTATTCAAGTTTCATAATGACTGCACATTATCCTTGCATATAACATGTTCTTTCTCCTTTAGCCTTTGTACCATGCATATTGACATTTAATAATTTAGCATTTATAGTGATTTCTAATTATTTATAATGTAAACCCTTTAACACAATTGGAAGTTGCTTTAACTCTATTGGAATTTTTTGTTACATAAAAATTATATTTTCATTGTTTAAGATTGAATGGCACCTAAATACTTTCTTTTAATTTTCATTCTCCCCTTTGACTAATTAAGATAGATTTTTTTGGTGTGTTCATGTTGCTTTGGAATTTCAAAGATCTTCATTCACATTCTGCTAATCTCAGATGCCATGGCAATCCAAGAGTCAAGCTCTAATGTATTTTTTTATTTTTTTTTATTTTTTTATTTTTTTATTTTTTTTGCAGTACGTGGGTCTCTCACTGTTGTGGCCTCTCCCGTTGCGGAGCAGAGGCTCTGGACCTGCAGGCTCCGGATGCACAGGCTCAGTGGCCGTGGCTCACGGGCCTAGCCACTCCGCGGCATGTGGGATCTTCCCAGACCGGGGTACGAACCCGTGTCCCCTGCATCGGCAGGCAGACTCTCAACTACTGCACCACCAGGGAAGCCTCCAGTATTTTTAAGCATACATTTTACCCAAAGTGTTTTAAATCGTTTTATTAAAAAAAAATCGTCCAAAGGTAAAGAAATATTTTCCCCATCATAATATAATGAATTATCATGGCACAGCCTGAAAAGTTCATTAGTTGAGTTCAGCTTCATCTGTGCTTATTGTAGTGCATACTGGTCACCATGGCTCTCTGATTAAAGTAAGTGAGAGAAGTTGGCGATAGATTTATTCCAAAGATTTTAATAAATATGCCTGATATACCAGACAGCCTTACCATTGCTAAATCAGTACATTTGCCTTTCTGGAATTTCTGCCTCCTGTACTTCTAATGTATCAGGGCTTAAAACAGGATCCCAAGTCTGTATTCCCAATTCTATTATTATTTAGTTTAAAACTAGAAACTTTAGAGAAGTATTGCAATATACTTAGATAATGTATAAAAAGGGGAAATCTTACATGGCTAGCAGAGGCCAAGAAAGGGGACTTTTTATTTAAAGCTTTAAAGAGCTGAGATTCAGAATTATCATCAACATTTAGGTATTTTATATTTGAAATGACTACCACCCTACCCAATGATAATCAACTATCTTTATATTTGACTTTCTTTTTGTATCTAATAATTTAGCTGCTCATATACTTCAAGGGAGAATTGAATCAGGTGAAATTTTTTAAATGTCCAAATTCGATTTCAATAATTCATTGACAAAGAAAAGAAGACAGGTTTTGTGTGTATGTACTGTGTGTGTGCACACATGCACACACATGAATGCAAAGAGGAATGAAACTATGCTTATTCATTTTCTGATACCTATAATAGCTGATGGACTTCTATCATTTTTAATAAGGAGTGACTAGCTATTTATGTAATTGGGGGTGGCTTTCCTTCACCAAGTTCAAGTTGAAGTGGCAAAATTTTGATTCAATATCAGTTTTGACCTTTCTAATACTGAGAGCTGGCTAACAAATAGTAGCTCTGTGGCATTATAATTGTTCAAATAATTGTAATTGTGTGCTTACCCTTGAGATGTCAGGCAGTTGATGGCTTTTGAAGACCCTCCCACTAATTTCCTAATCTAAAATTCTATTATAAGTTATTCTTTTTTTTTCTTTCTTTTTTTTTCTGGCCATGCCCCACAGCATGTGGGATCTTAGTTCCCCAACCACGGATCAAACCCTCATCCCCTGCCTTGGAAGCATGGAGTCTTAACCACTGGACTACCAGGGAAGTCCCTGTAAGTTATTTTTGCAATGCTATTTGCAGAGACACTTTTTGCTGAGTAAGAAGGCACAATGTTGGTGTTTGTTGGTGGAGGGGACCTTCACGACCAAATCCCTTGGGGTTAATTTATACATGTATTAGTCATCTGGGAAGAGTGACAACAATTGGATCCCCCAAAAGGTTAGGTGCTGCTCTTATCCTAGGATTGTATTTATATATGAAGGTACTGTGAGTAGGTGTGGAGGTGAGAGCAGTTGTGTTCTCCCACCATTACTCCACAAGCAGTGAACTTGAGATCAGAGTCTCTTAAGTTTGTACGAGACTGATCCAGCTCCTCTAGCTATAGTCTCAGGATGAATGTAATCTGTATGTTTTCCAAAGAAAGTGCAAGGGCAATGATGTAAAAGTGATCCTCCCAACCCTAGAAGACAGTCTATGCCTGAGAAATAATTGACAAAGAGTGAAACCACTGCCCTGCAATCGAGGAATTCCTATCCTATACCCAGCTTCTTTTCTTAAGGTTCTTATGTTGTTGGAGGAGGAAGGAAGAAGTGAGGAGGAGACTGTGGAAGGGTGGTCAAGGGTTTGCTTTGAAATGGCAAGCAATCCTATCCCAGGAAACATGGTGGTGCAGGGTAGGTTTCACTCCAGGTAATTATCTGGCTCTTTCTTTCCAGATGGACTAATTAACTGGGCTCCAAATAACCAGGAGATTCCTATAGTTGCACCACTTCTCAACAAGTCCCAGTTATCTATGCAAGCCAGAATCAAATCACTCCCATCAATGTTAATCCAGTGTGGATAAGTTATAACAGATGAGGCTAAACCACAGATAGTATTGGGCACCTGGACCCCTGAGAGTTGGGCAGCTAATGGCACAGACCTCCTCTGGTCATTGCATTAAGCTTTAGATAATGCAACCCTGAATATCATATGATTAACTATTTGGTATCCTGCTTATTGTGCTATGGTGGGGACAGGGTACACTACCAGAGCACACCTGTTTAACCAACAAAAATCCTTAGGAATCTTTCTCCTCTAGAGCAGAGGAAGAGCTTTAGCCTTTTCAGGACTCTTAAAAATTCCATAAACAAGGATGATGATGAGCTGATGGTGAGAGGAAATATTTGTGGAAGAAAGCAGTTTCCAAACAGAAGACCTACAGTCTTTGGCCAGCTAGAAGCATTTTGGGATACAACACACCTTTTATAAGAAAGGGTGAGGAGTGGAAGTGGCACTGCACAGGAAAAACTGTGGGTTCCTTGGTGAACCAGAATTTGGGTGACCTCCAGGATATTAGTGGAAATGAACCAAGGAGAAGGTGGAGACAGATTAGATAAACTGTAGGGCAGGGCTATGGTTTTGGCTTATCATTAGGCTCTTTCACTTGCTTTCATTTTTCATTAGCCTATAATGACTATTTGGAGGTAGAGGAAGACCTGGATTTTCTTTGGGCCCAAGTAGATACATGCCCTTCATATTTTCGTTCACCACTGAAAACGGGAGAAACTCTTTTGAAATAATAGATATTCTGAAAATATTTTCCCGCTGTATTCACCACATTTTCCCTGCTTCCCAGTACAACCCTTCCCACTGGAAGCAGGTTTACTAAGCACACACAGACAGAAAAAGGCAATGTCATGTGCGATTCAATAAGAACAATTGGAGACAATTGTTTCAACAGGTGAAATGGAATAAGATGCATGTTCATATTTGTTTAGAAATAATCAAACCAGAGGAAGCTTTGCAAACATGTTCTTAGTTCCTATATTTTGATTTGTGCTCTGACTCCACTTCAATAATTACAGTTGGCAATTTGAAAATAAACACTCAGTTCAATTGACAAAGTCAAAATGTTTTTATTTTGCTGAAGTTTAGCAAGTACAGTTTTAACAAAGAAGGTGTACTTTAACTTAATATATGGTAGAACAGAGAAACCATACATATGTTTCTAGTCTCTAACACACTACCGCATTTTTTCCCTTAAAAGACAAAAAGCCAAGCTGAAGTGAGCATAGAAAAGCATCAAATATGGTCAAGTTACTTTAGTCATTAGGATTTAGCTCATATTCTTAAATTGGTCAATCAATTGTAAAAACAAAGTTTATGTCATTGCTTTTAAAATGTACACACGTTCTTTCTTTAAAAAAATGTAATATAGATTGAATAACTGCTTCGGTAAACAAAGCTTTGCTGATAAACACAATTGAATTAACTCCATGTTGAATAGTTTCAGAGATAAACTGGAATCACAAGCATCTTCATTTATGTAAAGCCAGCGAGGACCTTTCAGGACGAATAAAACTGTTGTGCCATTGTTAAATAGTAAGAGTTACCTCCTTTAAAAAAAAGAAAACAAGTTAGTTTTTCTGAGGAATAATTCTAATACATACTTTAAAATGCTAAACATCTATCTTCACGAACTTAAATGATCTGATGTTACAGGCTTGATTTAATATCGGTAAAATTTAAAATTTCTTAACACTTCTATATGTTAATGTGTCAGTTTTCAAAGATCCTTCAAGTTGCGTGCTACAGCTTCTTTTCTTCTTTCCACTGCACTGAAGACATCAAAGACTGAGAAGACTCTTCATAAACTATGATGTCTATTGTTATCTACATTACTTTTCCTTTTGTACAGAACGCTATGCTTGAGATCCATATGGTTTACCAAAACAAGGAAAAAGGAATGTCTGGTTATGATCTAAGGTGATGACAGCTTTGACGAAACATTTCATTTCCTCTCCCCAGGTTAACTGTCCATGTATACTTCATGAAGGGAGACAAGTTCTGAATATCATTTTAAACACAGTGTTTAGTGAAACTGGTATCTATTTAAATATGGGTAATCAAAAGAATCCATACCATTCTAGAGTTAGAAAATATTTGATGGTGTGGGTAAAAGTTAGAGTTGGAAACAATTTCCAAAAACAATTCCACCTCTTTTTATCCAACTTTCCTCTTTTCCATAGCCATGGCTTATAGCCCCAGTCTCTATCCAGCTACCTCATAAAAATTGGTGTTTGGTGACAAAAGCAGAACAAGGAAAGAAAGTGTGGATGATCAGTACAAATCCATCACCCAGGCTTAAAAAAAACACTTAAAGTCTATGTTTGTATCATCTTCACATATAAAGGAAAATACATTATCATTGTTGGACAGATATGCCTCATCTAAAATATTAATTCAGTCAAGTCAAAGCTTAGCACTGTCAGGGGGAAGACATACCCCTTTAATGTATAAAATCTTTAAAATATTTTTTTTTTCTGTGTCAGAGGTATTGCGAGTCAGTGGAGTTTTCTGGATAATACCTCAGAACCAAAAATAAAGATGTGGTAAGGTAATAGAAGAATAAAAGAATTTGGTTCTATGTTAGACCACCTGGAGGTTCAGACTTCATTAGAGGGCAACCAGGCATTTTGCCTAAGAGCCCATGGAATTCACCTGAACTTTTCCAGGGAAGAAGAAAACAAAGCTTGAATTTTGGGAAACTGTGTAGTAGTCTGTCACCCCAGAGAATTGCTCAGACTCCTTTGCGGTGTCTGAGATTTTTATTCTGATAAAATTCACCAGATAGTTGCTTGTTTTCCAGTCTACCTCGTCCTCTGTATACACAGCCTAAATGTCAAAAGAAAGCTCTTCAACATCAAATAGCAGACATTCATTCTACCAGAATTGAAATTTATACAATATAGTTAAAACTTAAAACATGCAATACAAATTGAGGACATTACAAATTTGAAAGCAATGGTAAAAGTAACATCCTGTAAAAAAAAAAAGGTACATAAACACAGTAACAAATGGCAAAAAGCAATCACCATCTTCCTTTAGAAAAATGCAGTTTCTGAAAAATCACCCTCCTTTATTATGTTTAATTTTTGTCTTTGTTAAAAAAGACAAACATTTGCCCACACCCTTCATTAAATGTGCCAGTTTATAAGGCCTATCAGGAAGTGTTTCCACAGCAGTTCAAAAATCCAAAGAAAAACTAGGCCAGCAGAAGACAGTGTTAATATGAATCAATTTTTCTACTTAGAATACAATAAGTTGAGATTTCAAAGTAGTTAAACTTTTTTCTCCAAATTTAGACGATAGTAGCAAAATAGATTCTTGTGTAGCATGCTGTACAATGTTGACACAGATTCTGTTACTCTTTTACATATGCCAATACTGTGATCATATGGAAGGAGCCAACATTGACCTGCTAACTGACACTGATCCTTGGAGCAATCTCAAAGTTTGCCACATTTCAATTTCAAAATGCATTTCGCCTATGAGTGATTTATCATTTAGTAGTAGCTGTCAAAGTAAACTCCTAGATAAAACAAAAACATCTGGAAACATAAACAGAGGAGAGCAGTAGCTGAATTTTAATCCAAACCTGGCATGCTCACTTCATTAGGAACAGGAAACAGCTAATTAGTAATTGAATGTTTCATGTTTTTAAAAGGTTTTGTACTTGAGCTCGAAGCAGAGATGATCTAATATGCATTCTGGATGTAAACAAGATTAAAGATCAGGAAGAGCAATGAACAAAACCTCTCCAGAGGAATGTTAGGGAGCTTGGGAACTTACAAGGAGTGACACACACTGACATTTCAGGAGAGCTGGCAGAGTTTATTGCTTTAAGATATATCAGATAAGTAAAAGAGGGATTCAATACACACAAATGTGACCATTTTAAAAATAAAATAGAAGGCCCATACAGTCACTCGCTTAGCACAGCACTGCCTGACATGGGCATACCCCATGGCACAGGAGTCTGGTGTGTCCTCCTGCATACAGCAGATGAGCCTCTGCTGATAAGTTATCTTTAAAGGGTCACACCTGGTTGTTACAAACTCAAATAAGTGTGAGACTTGCCTTTTGTGGTATATATCTGAAGCTTAAGAAAAAAAAAAAAGCTAAAATCAGGCATCACAAAGAAGGCAGGTATGTTGAAAAAGGCCAGAAGAAAATGCACGAGGATTCCTTATAGTTCAACCAAAGTCAATTAGCATATCTATGTTTAAAAAGATATTTATTTTTCAATAACTTAATTAATTTGAAAATGCTGTTCAATTTCCCCTGTAGTTCAATATATTCTGTTTGACTATCAAATAATGAGACGTTTCTGGATGTTATTTTTTAAGTCACACCTCTTTGTTATTCAATTCAGGTATTTGATATTAATAAAGTTCTAAAAAATTTTATTTGCCTCGGTCCTTCTCCATAACTGATTTCTAATTTGGCACTATTTCACTGAATTAGGTTAAAGCAACATACCTATTCTACACAAATAGTTCTTCTACAGTATGTAGAGAGAACCAGAAGCCTTAGAAAAAATTCCTTCAGAGCATGGAATGACTGGAATGTCACACTGATATGAATTAATGTGATATTTTAAAATGTGTAGGGAAGCTGGGCATTCCAGTAGAAATTGCATGTACTGCCACAGGGAACTGGTTATTGGAGAATGGATAAAAACTCAGTTGGACTTTTGCATAGGATGAGTGATACTTCTGTCACATCAGAATTTAGTTCGAGGGCAGATGTAAAAATAACACAATGGATTAGGTTTTGCTTGGTGTAAAGAGGGCACTTTAGGAGGGGAGTTAATTTTTTTGATCACTAGACTACCATTTAGCACATTGGAATACTGCTCTATTAGATTCCTAGGAGGCAGGAAAATAATGATGACAATTATTTGCCACCAGCCTTTGGCCAGGTCTCCATCAAGTAAACAGTTAAAAATATTTGAGGCCATTTCCTGGGCAATTCAAGCCAAATGACCCATTGGGTTCTAATGACTGGAACATCTTAGGCATCTGGCCATGTCTAGACCAGAGGGTGAGCAGTGGAAAATATCCATGATGTGACTGACCCACCATATCTGCCTTTCTCCATTCTTAGATGTATAGATTTTTCAGTCTGTTTGCTTGTTGATAGCTTAATGAAGAGGAAACAGTATTGGAGATGGAAGGAGAGCAGAAAAAAATAAAAGAGGTATTTTTAGTTGCTTAGGTATGTGTTTTTATCATTACCTTCTTTACAGTAAGGAATATGCTAGTAGAAAGGTGTTAAATGACTTGCTCTACCATCAACAAATCAAAGGAAGAACTAAGTGTGGTAAAACCTACAAACTAGAGCTCTCCATATTTCCTTAGAGAACTGTACAGGCAACGTGTTTCTTTCAGAAAGGTGATCTCCAAAGCAATGCTAACAAATATGGATCATTTGCACAAATGAATTACCTCCTCACGTTAATTCCGTTAAATCTCGGGTCAGCCAAATATAAAGCTATTTCATAGTAATCACAGCTTAAAGTGGGTGTGTCTGCATTTTAATTTCTGTCACAGCATTTAGAAATAGAATTTTCTATGTCTTAAAAATTCTTCCACCTACTTACCCCACTAGGATGCTCTCTGGTTTAATGTGGTAATGTTTATGAAGCACTATGAACTCCATGGAAGAAAGGGGTTATAGAAGTGTAAAGTATCAAGTTCAATCATCATTATGATTATCCCCTAAACACTTGTGAAGCCCATTCTCTAACACATATTCCCTGTATGTGCCAGGTTCTAATTATCAGTAATGAACAAATAGTAATAGATGGTTCCATATTTTAAGAATTTGAGTATGAATTTTAAAGAATTACAGCACTAGGTAAGCAGGTAACTGCTACAGCACCCTATTCGTGCCTATGATCAGTTGGAGTTCCGGCATCAGTGTTCAGGCTGCACAGAAAAAACAATAAAACCGGTCAAAATTTCATTCCAACAAAGAAAATCCAAAATCTACTCAATGAACTTCATTAAAAACCACAAACTGGCTTTATAGTATTTTGCTGTGCTATATATGTTCAATATTTGAATAAATCTGTGTGTAATAAATGCATTATTTTATTACACATATCCCTTAATCATATATTTATTGATGTGGGCCTCGTTCTATTAAAAACAAAATTATACAAAGATGAGCAAAACTGTAGATTTACAGTAATTTGAAGTTTAAGCAAATTCTCTGGGTGCGATATTAACAATATAAAAATGGTGTAAATGATATTTCCTAACTCTAAAATATGCTTCTGAGCCTCTTGTGCATGTTCTACTGCTTTACAACCTGAAGTGAAATGCATGACTAGCTTAATAAGCGAGCCATTTAAAAAGGGTTTTTTTTCCCCTTCACAGTCTAAAACATGAGTAAAGATCCACACCGTTTTCTCTGAATCAAAATCTTTGTTAATGATCGCAATTTCCTTTCAGGATGAGATTTCCTTCCCTGACAGGGTGGTTATTTAAAAGTAACTTCTCACTATTTATTTTTTGAAAACTACCAAGAAACATGTCTATAACATTTATGCAGGCTTAAATTTAAGTTTAGAAAAAATTATATTTTCTACCCAGAGCTTATATTTCCTTCCAAGTGTTGTGTCACCACTAATTCACTTATATAAACAAAGGGATTTCCTTAAAAACTACTAGGCTCCATCACAGGCATACTTTGAGCTATCAAACCTTTATTTTGGTGGGTAGCTAACTTATTCTTGAACAGATGCCAATATTTTATAAACGATTTCTCCTGCTAAGTATTAAGTTTTATGCTTTCTGTTTTCTTGAAGTTGCCTAATTAGTGATATGTTTCTAATTTTCAAATGGGCATTATATTATATGGCACTAAATAAGATCACATTTAAAAGATCATGTTTTCCTGACCTGAGTAAGAGAAAGAAAAAAAAAAATATGCTGGTTAATGCTCCACTTTAGTCTTAGGTTCAATCCACATTAAATATGCAATTATTTATATGAAGTTTACTTCAATTGTCAAACATGTTCAGAATGGGACATTCTCAAATCAAATAATTGACAGTACTGAGGTTAGTTGGGGGTCCAGTTAGATATTAGTACAGTAATATAAATACAGTGCTTCTTATCTGAGAGTAAGAAAAGTAGACCTTTGCAAGATAGGGGCAGATAAATAAAAGTATAGCATTTGATTCCTCTTTCTCTAGAGAAAAGCATTGTTTTAGAGTCATTTTTCAGAAAGGTCTAGTGCTTATTTTTAAAATGTAGCACTTTTTCAAAAAAAATGGAGGTTTAGTGAAAATAATAACCACTTAGCCTTATTAGCCCTAAAAAATTTCGGACTTATACTTTAATCAAAATAAAGACCACTAGAGAATGGACTTGAGGATATGGGGAGGGGGTAAGGTAAGCTGTGACAAAGCGAGGGAGTGGCATGGATATATATACACTACCAAACATAAAATAAATAGCTAGTGGGAAGCAGTCCCATAGCACAGGGAGATCAGCTCTGTGCTTTGTGACCACCTAGGGGGGTGGGATAGGGAGGGTGGGAGGGAGGGAGATGCAAGAGGGAAGAGATATGGGAACATATGTATATGTATAACTAATTCACTTTGTCATAAAGCAGAAACTAACACACCATTGTAAGCATTTATACTCCAATAAAGATGTAAAAAATAAATAAATAAAAATAAAAAAGAATAATAATAAAAAAACCAAAGACCAGTACAAGTCGATTTTCTTTGCAAATTGTATAATAATGGAGTATCAACCTCTCTCACTTGCATTTAACTCACTTTGTTTTTTGTGAATTAATTCTTTAATATGCGCTTTTCTCTTTTATTTACTCTCTAGTTCTTGTAAGAAACACCCTAGAAAGGGATATGGCTATCTTGCTATTCTCATATGGGGATAAAATATAAAAATATATTTACCACAACTGTACACAGAAGAACATATGTTTTAGAGATGGTTTTATATATCAATTATATGTCAATTATTTCACCCTTATTAAAATCTACGTATACAAACACAAATGTTAACTTCATATGTATTTTATAGGGCATAGTAATAATAATATACTGTATTTATACTTGTCAAAGAGTATGGATCTAACTTATTGATGAGGAGGATTAGGCAAATATTACTATTTTACTAAAATTAAGGGAGAGAGAAATTGAATGACTTCTCAGTGTTAGTTAACTGAGTTAGCCAGTTAGTAACTGAGAAACCTTGACTACTAGACTTCTTCTCACCACTTCATTGTGCTTCCTATACACCAGTTATAAAATAGCAACAAAAGTGCATGTGTTCAATACACAGACCTGCAAATTTTGAGCTACACTAAGAGCTCTAGAAATATTTGAACTCTACTTTCCAGGTGGGAAGAGGAAGAAAGGGAAAGGAGAATAAATAAAAACTAATATTCATGGAATGCTGACTATGTTAGGAGCCATACTAAGTCATTCTAAGCACTTATGTCATATGTAGAATGCCATATTCTTTCACTACTTCTTGTTGTAGATGATGTCATGGTAAAAAGAAGTAAGCTACTTACGTGCTATGTCATTGCTGTAAAAATATCTAGGGTCATTATCACCTACCTTCCATAAGTACATAGTTACAAAATGGATTTGTAAGGTCAAATTTACTTGAGATTTGTACAGGATGCATATTGGAAATATTTTAATGTAATAATTATTTTTTATTTTTATTATTGAGCTGTACAAATTATTTATATACTCTAACACAAGTCTTTCGTTGGCTGTATATAATGCAAATATTTCTTCCCTGTCTTTGACTTGTCTTTTGATTTTCTTGACATCTTTGGATGAACAGATTTTAAAATCTTTTATGAAACCCAATTAACAAATTTTCATGGTTAGTGCTTTTTATGTCCTTTCTAAAAAGACTTTGCCTAACCAAAGTTTTCAAAGATACTCTTCTAAGTTTTCTTCTAGAAGCTTTATAGTTTTAGCTTTTGTTTGTTTTTGTTATTTAGGCTGTTTTTAGCTTTTTATTTATTTATTTTTTGGCTGCACCACTCGGCTTGCAGGATCTTAGTTACCTGACCAGGGATCGAACCCATGCCCCCTACAGTGGAAGCACAGAGTCTTAACCACTGGACCGCGAGGAAAATTCTTAATGTAATATTTAAAAGTAGAACTATGTTCTTCTTTTTATAACTTTTAACTACTCCTTTTGTATGCTGAAATGCTAGAAAAACACTGTAATTTCTCAATTCAAAGTAATCATAAAATGGAATCAAAATATGGAGAAAAATGAAAATGAGAGTAATGGAAAAACATTAAATGTTAATTTGAACAACGTTAAAAATGACCACATCCAACATTTCCCATAGAAGATTGAAATGCAGTTACCAAGAGATTGTAAGATTTAAGTTGCAGGTTTTGTCTCACTCATTTTATTTTTAAATTTTTTAATATATGTATTGGAGTATAATTGCTTTACAATGGTGTGTTAGTTTCTGCTTTATAACAAAGTGAATCAGTTATACATATACATATATCCCCATATCTCTTCCCTCTTGCATCTCCCTCCCTCCCACCCTCCCTATACCACCCCTCTAGGTGGTCACAAAGGATGGAGCTGATCTCCCTGGCCTCACTCATTTAAAATAGTTACTCACCAATGCTAAGATCAACATGACATTCATTTGTATTGTTTTAAAGAAAATAAGAGCACTTAAATTATGGGAGAATAGGGAAATTGAGAAGAAACTTTTATAAAAAAATGATGCTTTCTTAAAAGCTAATAGAGGAATTATTAGCGTTATCCAAATAACCATTTGTATAACTGAGGTGAAGTGGATTCCAACTTAAGTATGTGGATTACTACTGGTGTTAATCTTCAAACATTAAACAAGTAAATCATAAACTTTGTGATTAACAGATTAAGGAATGTCAAGGAGGTCTGTAAAAAAATCTAAACGTTTTTCTTTAAATTCACTTTAATTTCCAAAATTGAATGTTACATGGCCATCAAAAATGAGAAAAAAGTTCCTGAGAGCAACAAATAAAACTTTCTGCTAATGGCCCACAGAAAGGAATCCTAGCCTAAAATTAGATAACTGAAAATCTGTTAAGGCCTAGTTCTGATAGGGTGATGTGAGTTTAGCCACAAATAGAAAAGTTTTTTTCTACTCCTACTTCAGCTTCTCTACACAGTTTTAAATAGAAAAGAGAGATTGCATTTGTGTAATTTTTGTAAGTATTACCCCAATCTATGCAAAGTTTTAAGGCAGAAGTGATTATTAAATTATAGTTGGCTTTAGTCTATTTTGGTTAATTAACTACAAACTGGAGAAGCCTTTCCCCACCCCAGCCCTGCTGCATTGTTTTGCATGGGAGAATATTAAAGTCTAGTTAAATATCCTAGCTAGCTTACTAACTATGAGAGATTTTTACGTATTTGGATTGATAGTAATATTATCAATATGGATTGATAGTGAAAACAATGGGTAAGGGAGTTAAGATTCCTGTGTTTTAGAACCCATTACCAATAGAAAGCCAATTAACTTCTCTTGGGTTATTTTCCTACTTATAAAATAGGGGTTAATTATACCTTCCTTAAATATCACACAGGAATAATCCTGCTAGAGGATATGTGTAGTCAGAATGGGACAGGACTTTCCTGGTGGCGCAGTGGTTGAGAGTCCACCTGCCGATGCAGGGGACACGGGTTTGTGCCCCGGTCTGGGAAGATCCCATATGCCGCGGAGCGGCTAGGCCCAAGAGCCATGGCCGCTGAGCCTGCGCATCCAGAGCCTGTGCTCCGCAATGGGAGAAGCCACAACAAGTGAGAGGCCCGTGTACCGCAAAAAAAAAAAAAAAAAAAAGAATGGCACAAAGACAAGTTCATCTTTATGATGGAATATGTTACCAATGAGAAAGCTAGCAGTAAGCCTGGAT